GAGAAAATGGAGACAAAGTCGGTCAATAAATGAAAAAATGATCTTAGATGTAGAAAATGAAAGGATTTTTTTACGTTAGCATCTTACCATTATTGAAATTAATAGCTAGTCACACAGCTTTTATAATGGTGAGAAGGCCTTCTTCACTTAATAGCTTTCATTATTTGAGAGATTCATAGCTTTCACTAATAAAATGGGATAGGCACACTAGAAAATGATGGCATTTGAGAAATTCTGACCATGTCGTGAAAAAACTCACATCAATTATTATTTTCACATCTTTTTTTATTGGCAACAATAAAACTCAATTGAAGCTCACTATAAATTTTTTAAACAGATTAATGGAAAGAGGTCATTATTATCAAGCATGCCCTCAAAGTGGCTTAAAATTATTTTTATTAATTATTATTATTATTGTTATTATGGAGCTCATGAAAATGTATCAAGTGTAACTCAAAAATACTTGTGAAATTTTGAAACAAAAGTCATTTGAGATTCATGCAAATTATTTTAAAAATTTACTTTCTTCCCATTTAGACCAATGAAAAATAAGTAAAATTTTTTGACATCAAGACAATTGAACCCTGAAAACAAAATAGATTTCAACACATTTTAACAATTCTAATTTAAATTTTACCTTATTTCTCTTTAAGAAGCCCCAAGTTGCCAATTCTTAGGTGACACTTTTCGCAAATGCATTTGGTATGCACTTGTGCTCCATCCAAACCTTCAAAAGTGAGATGGCATTTGGCATGTATTGAACAGTATCAATTTTGTGCCCTTTCAAGAATCTGGTGGAGGACTCCAAGATCTTGCTCCGAGGTTGTCAATGCATTGTCCAACACGTTTGGAAGGAAGGCAATCTTTGTGCAGATGCCCTGGCAAAGTTTGGAGTGCAACAACCCGAAGACATGTTGGCGGTCAATGAGCCACCAGCGGAAATTAGAAGTCTTCTTATTTCTGATATGATAGGCTTGTCTGGGGAACGGGCTTAGCCCTTGTTTTTCCTTGCCATTTCCGTTGTAACCAAAAAAAAAAAGAGAACAATATCAATTTTGACATAGCAAAAAGAAAATGCCAAATTTTTTATTTTATTATTTTAATGGTATGGACCTATGAAATGTTAAAAAAATATTAAAGTAAATAGAATTTAAAATAAAACTAATAGAATAATAAATTTTACATATTGGGTGGAATTTTTTTTTATTTAGAGATGTCAAATTCATATATGTCAATTTGACACATAAACCTTTAAAATAAATTGCCATACAAATTTTAAAAAAATTCAGGTGGAGATGCACTTAGAGTATTTCCAGCCCTTCATCAATTTTTTCATCAAATATAATTCTAAATTTGAGTAAAAGCTTAATTTATTAAGAACTATTCTGATTCTTTCATCTAATTTTTATTAAAAAATCTTTTTAAAATTTCCCTTCTTATCTCAAAATTTTCTTTTCATCAAATTTAATTATTATTTTTTATCTCAAATGTTTGTTTTATAATTGTGGAGGGTAAAAAAATTGACCTAGAGCCCAAGGAAATTGATGCGTGGCCCAGAGCATTTGATCCAGCCAAAGCAGCTCCAAAGTAAAGGCTAGGCTCAAACTCTTATTAGGTCTATCCAAATAAGAGACAAAATCACATGACCAAAGATCTGAATAAGATCGCCTTCTGAAAGGAAATCCATTGTACAAAAGAGAGCCCTTGGATCCATTTGTAACCTACGATGGAGATCAGAATTGATATAGATATGGATGTAGGATCAATATATTCTGACAACATGATCATCTGATGAGCAAGATCTAACGGTCAAAGATGAGAGAAAATAAACATCCGAACTAATCCCAACCATCCAGAATGAAACAAATCTGACGGTGAAGAATCGAGATAACTTGATTACTTACCCTACCAAGGTCTGGGGGCATAAAGTACCGTTGGATCAAGACAATCATCCAATGACTCAAATGCGAGGCATTGACACTATAAAAGGAAGGACCAGGAATAATAAGGAGAGACAAGTAAAAAACAATACAAATAGTCTTTCTTTTCAATATAATATGTCTAAACAGTATTCTGACTTAACCATCGGAGGGTTCTCTCGACCAAATTTGGTCAAGAGTGACCACTGATGATTTGGTGTCTTTAACTTATCTCGCTTTCCTTGTGGAGAAAATTATTGGGGGTGTTTGGTGGGGCTTTTTTGAGCCAACTTATGGCTTCTAGCTTTTAAAAAGTTATTTCGGACTGTTTAGTTAAACTTATTTCAAACAGCTTCTGATTCTAACAACTTATTTTAAGTTAAAAAAATTGATTCTGAGAAGCTGCTCACCTCTTACTTCTGATTATCAGCTTCTACTGTGGATATGTTAATTCACGGTTATACTCTTAGATTTTTTATTTTTTATTTTTTTAAAAATAAAAAAAAAACCAAATGGACTATAGAATATTATTATTATTATTTATGAGAAATGTAGACAAATAGTAAATAATAAATATAAAAAAAAGTTAATTGAAAAAGTTATTTCACAGCTTATTTAACAAACACTACTCAGCAACTTAAATCTATAATCCAACAGCTACACCAAACAGATGAATAGCTTCTGATTAAAGTCATAATCTATAATATGTTAAGCTATAATCTATAATCTGTTCTAACAGCTACACCAAACATGACCTATGTCCTTTCATAAATTCAAATTTGATGAAGAACTTAAAAGTATCTCCAACGGTGTATCATTTATTTCACCAAATTTGAATAAAAACTCCATCTGATATGCAGTACTCCAATGGAGCATTTTTGGCTATCATCAACATACCAGTCGATCGGCAAATGTAATCCATCAATTCCAAAAATTATTTTTGGTCCGAGAGTATGCTTTGTTGTGAGAATTTTTCAACTAAATGAATGACTAGGGGACATCCTGCCGAACGTCCGGCCGGTCGTCCGGTTCCACAAAACAATGGCTCCAAACAGTGAAATGATGAAAGCTCCCAGACATCCTCTATTTGGTAAAACATTTTTTTATTCTCGATTTGATACCGATTTGATGAAATCGTTAGAGCTAAAAAAATGCACCATTTTTCATCAAATTCAAAATTGATGATAAGTTTGAGTAACCGTCGGAGATGGTCTAATAGTTCTCAATTTGATAAAAAAAAAATGATCATCTCTTGATTTGATGAATATTTGATAAAATATTGTATATAATTTTTAAACACTTTTTCATCGAATTTAAATTTGATAAAACAAAATATGAATGATTGGAAGAGCTACTTTTACCAACTCTTTTAAGGGGTCATTTGGAAAGAAAGAATATAGTCAAAAAGCTACTATCAAAAGTCAATTCATTATCTTTATATTTTCTTTGCACATTTATTTATAAAAAGTCAAGAAATTATTAAAAAAATCAATTTTGAAATAGGGATAATTATACTTTTTACCCCTATAATTTGACCCAAATTTCATTTTAGTCTATATAGTTTCAATTTGAACTATTTAGACCTCGTTTGTGAACATGCTAATTTAATAGCTTTTTTACTATTTAGCTAAAATATGAGCTAAAAAAAACTAATATGTTTGGGATGACTTTTTGACTTTTTACAAAAAGATGTGCAAAAAATAGAGAGAAAAGAGAATCTTTGACTTTTTGATATGGGTTGTTGGCTTTTTGGTTTTTTTAGTGACTTTTTGACTAAAAAAGTCACTTGCCAAACGAGGCCTTTGTCTTTATACTTTGGTTATGTTTGATTGGGAGCTTGGGGAGAGGGTGGCTTGGATTACTAATCCGTGGGATCTTCCAAACTCTTGTTTGGATGCAACAAAATGTCACAGGATTAGTAATGTAGGGGGTTTAGTAATCTCCCTCTCTAGTTGGATTAGCTTGGGTGAATTTTAGGTAAGATTAAGAAAATAGTGAGAAGATTGAGTCTATTTTATATTTTTAAAAAAAATTAATTTTTTTTTTTACCAAGTGCACCTATTTGTTTTAGTTTTTTTTAATATAGAAATAATTTATTTATTTATTTTATATAAAAATAATTTAACAATCACATCACTAATCATTTCTCACACTATCATCAAAACAAACACACTTTTATTTAATCCCCTCACTAATAATTCACACATTAATAATATCTTCACTAACAATCCTCTCACTAATAATCTCATCCAACTTAATCCGCCAAACAAACGTGGCCTTTAAGTCTAGTTTCAATTTGATTATTCTTTTTAATTTTTGTTAATTTTGTATACATATACACCTTTCAAAATTGACAATTATTCTAAAATTATTAATTTTGATCTTCAGTTTAGGTTGAAGAACCAATGGTAACCTTAGAAAATTAACAAGTATTCCAAAATTATTAATTTTGACTTCCAACTTACACGGATTCACCAAATTGAAACTAGGCTTATAGTGTGAAGACGAAATTGTTCAAATTAAAATTATATGAATTAAATTAGAATTTAAATCAAATTATAGGAATGAAAAATGTAATGAACCTTTTCAAATATCAAAAAAGGTACGACCCGAGAATATGAGAACTCATAATCGATTAAGAATGGATATGTGCTATAGAGATTAAATTGATGAAGTGAAAGGTTTATGAGCGAAATAAATTTGAGCAATTGATTCTCATTTCTAAGTAAATAATTATGAACTTGTCGTGTTGCTGTCCAATTATATTAATTTGGAGATTTTAGGACTGTATTTGGGAAATTGGTTAACTATTTTTAAACTGTTTTAGCATGACTAAAATAGTTGTGTTTGGAAAGTTTGATTTGATAATTGTGAAAAAAAAAAGTAAAATAATTATGTATTAGATGTGATATTTTATTTTCTTTGCTATTTTAATTTATTTTATCTTTTAGTAGAGATTCTTCCCGGACACCCCCTGTACGACATCGTTTTGTTGTTGTTGCATCGATCTTGTTCGAGTACGACGCCGTATGTATTGTCTTGTTCGTTCAAACAACGTAATAGTGTGTTTACTGTTACGTTTCAGTTTCCACTTTCTTTCTGAATCTGTAAATTCCGACTAAACAAGTCTCTCCCTGTCTCTCTCTCAAAATCTCTCTTTCTCTCTCTAACCCAATTCACGAACTCTATCCCTAAAACCCTAAATCATCTCAAATTCAAATGCAAATACAAAAAAAAATGTTGGATCAATACATTTTCACAATTCAATTCGTTGTTTGATCAATCAGATTGTTACAAAACCCTAACCCTAACAATGTCATGGGGACTAGGTTGGAAGAGACCATCAGAGATCTTCCATTTGACCTTAAACTACGGAACCGAAGAAACCTTCGATGATCAGACCCCTTCATCATCATCAGCGTCAGCATCGTCATCATCGAGTTCTTCATCGGCATCAGGGTCTCAAGATCAAGAGCTAGGGTTCAGAATCGATCTCGATTGGACGGCTAGTGATGATGAAGATCAGGTGGCTTTGAGGCTTCAGTCGCAGCTGATGGTGGCTCTGCCTCTGCCTCAGGACATGGTGGTGGTGGAATTGAAGAAGGCGGCGGCGGAGGAGGAGAATGTGGTGGTGAATGTGGATATGAAGGTGGAGAAGCGGAGAGAGCCGCTTCGGGTGGTGAGGATGTCGAAAATGGGGGGCTCGGGGCAGCAGAGCGATGGAATTGGGGTGCTTACGAGGCTTTTGAGAGCGAATATCGTGGCGCCGGGGACATCGGTGGGGGCGGTTGGAGATGGGGGGGTGATGGGTTGTGCTGATCATTGGATGAGTGTTACTGTGCTTAGCCTCTGTGGTTGTGGCTTGTGGGTGAGTGCTTTATCATCTAACTCATGTATTTTTTTTTTTTTTGTATTGGTTTTACTCATGTTTGGCTGTTAAGATTTTAAATTATACTACTGTTTGATGTTAATGAAAATTCAGCAAAAAATGGTGGATTTGCCCCGGGCTAGTGGAAATTTTGAGAATGAGAGAACAACTGGATAATATACAGTTTTATTACTCCTGTTTGGTCATTGAGAAAACAAAAGAAAGAGAAGATTTTGGACGATATGCTGTTTGATGTATTCATTTGCTGAAATGAAAAATCAGCAAAAAAATGTTGGATTTGCCCTGGGTTAGTGGTAATTTTGAGAATGAGAGAACAATTGGATAATATACAGTTTTATTATTCCTGTTTGGTTGTTGTGAAAACTAAAGAAAAAGAAGATTTTGAATGATATGCTGTTTGATGTTTTCAATTGCTGAAATGAAAAATCAGCTGAAAATGCTGGATTTGCCTTGGTTAGTGGTCATTTTTTTGAGAATGAGAGAATAACTGGATAATGGTATAAGCTTGAGAGACCAGCTTTGAGGGAACCCATTTTGTGTTGTGCCAAGTATTTCTAGAGGATTGGTCTTGATGCAGTCCATCCATCCTAGCACCCTTGATTGATGGTGTGAGAAATTTGGAATGGCCTTTAGGGGATACTGATACCGAATATCTGGGATACTTCATTAGCTGTTACCTAATGTGATGGATATGAATAGTACACGAACACTCGATCAACACATAAAACTAAACTGATTATACATATAGTTCAAGGCTGGAAGCTTAACAAAGAAAATCTAATTTGCCATTTTATATTATTTAATCTCGCTAAATAGTTTTATATTATATGAAAACAAATGCTAACGCTATTTTTGTACATCATGTCATTTTGGATTTGACATTTGAAAATTTGAATTAGTTAAAAATTATTGATTTTGTTCAATTGGTAATTTCTGGGTGACAGTGTGCTGGAGATTTTTATTATTGTAGAATAATAGTTCTGGAAGAGTAGCTTGGATAGATGATTGATGTGGAATTTCTTGATTTAATGTTAAAGTTTACATTTGTTTGATCTTGTACATGAAAGAAATGTGAAGTCTAAAAAAGATGCTTTTTTTATATTCTGCTTTCATGTTTTAACATGAATGCAGATCTAAGTCGGATATAGGTTATATTACACTCAATTATGTTGAATGTCTATTAAATTATTTATGTACTTGATCCTTTGGCAACCTCTGAAAAGCTAGCTATTTATCACAAAAAATAAAAATAAAAAAAGAAAAAGGCCAGCTTGTTGGCTGAAAAAGCCCATTTTGCAATAAAATAAAATAAATTAAAAAAAAAGCTTTAGGTCATTTGGGCATACTCGTTTCCGGCCAAAAAGCCAACTTTAGCCACTCTAAAAAGCCATTAAAAAAAGCAAAAAATGCCAAGCGAACTAGCCTTTTTGTTGGTTTATTTTTAGCTAATAAGCCAGCTGTTTTAGCTAACTAACAAACGAAGGTGTCTTTGAACTGTTATTGTTCATTCATGTTGAGTTGATTAAGTGGAAGCGATTTAGTCTGCTTCTTCTGCAAGGGAAGAATTAAAGTATTGGATTCTGTACCATGGCATAGTCGTTAATAGATTGACACTAGTCAATGGAATATTAATGGTGTAATGAAAATATGCTACCAGTCTAATATAGCTAAGGTCACTAAGCTCCTTGAATCTTGGGACTGAAAAAAAGTGTTGCCTTTGAAGTGGGGTTGCTGTTAATTGGAATAACCCTTTTGTTCTTTCATGCACTTGCTGACAGGTATTGCCAGTGGAGTTAACTCAACTTCCACTTCTTGAGAAGTTATACCTTGACAACAACAAGCTTTCAGTTTTGCCACCTGAGCTTGGTGACATAAAAAACTTAAAAGTTCTCAGAGTTGACTGCAATATGCTGGTTTCAGTGCCTGGTAAGCTTGAAATTGTATTTTTTTTTTATCCAAAAATAGAATTATACTTTTAAACTACAGTTTACAACCATATAAAGTTGTTTGAACTGAACTAAAATAAACGACAAAAGACAATTTTGGAGGTCTGAGAAATATGTATGTCATGCAACTTATACCTTGGCTTGTCTTTGGTGGAAACTGCAACCAGTTGAATTGAGAGAGTGTGTTGGACTGGTGGAATTGTCATTGGAGCACAACAAACTGGTCCGGCCTCTTCTTGATTTCAGGTCATTTCATTTGCTTACTCTCACCCTACGTTGAATTTTAATGAAGTTTTTTAGTATCTGGTATTTTCTCCCTAGGACTAATGTTTCTCTTCAGTTTAATTGCAGAGCTATGGCTGAGTTACGTATTCTTAGACTATTTGGTAATCCCCTTGAATTCCTACCTGAAATTTTGCCATTACACAATCTTCGTCATTTGTCTCTTGCAAACATCAGAATTGTAGCTGATGAAAATCTAAGATCAGTTGGTGTGCAGATAGAGGTAATGAAGAATACATAAATGCTTGTAGTGTTTTGCTGATCAATTACAAGTTAAATTTGCTTTCTTGACATATGAGGTTGTGGCAGATGGAGAGCAGTTCTTACTTTGGTGCATCTCGACACAAATTGAGTGCTTTCTTCTCGCTTATATTCCGTTTTTCTTCTTGTCATCACCCGTTGCTAGCATCTGCCCTTGCAAAGATAATCCAAGACCATGAAAACCGTGTATTTATTGGCAAAGATGAGAATGCTGTACGTCAGCTTATAAGTATGATAAGTAGTGATAATCGTCATGTGGTACGTCAGCAAATTCTAGCTTTTATCAATTAGATCACTCTCTCTCTCTCTCACACACACACACACGCACACATTCTTTCTGTATAGCATTTTTGCTAACTTCTTCTGTTTTTTGTCAGGTTGAACAAGCAAGCTCTGCTCTTTCATCGCTTGCATCCGATGTTTCTGTGGTAATGCAGTTGATGAAATCTGACATCATGCAATCCATTGAAAGAGTATTGAAGTCTGTTGGCCCTGAAGAACTAATTTCTGTGTTGCAAGTTGTGGTCAACTTGGCTTTTGCCTCTGATATGGTGGCTCAAAAGATGTTGACAAGGGATTTACTGAAATCATTGAAATCATTATGCAGCCATAAACACCCCGAGGTAAGCCCACGGTGTTCTAAGTATGATATGCATGTTTCTATTGCTACCACATGTTGACTCGTCATCTAATCTAGAGGTTTATCTTTAATTAGGTACAAAGGTTAGCTTTATTAGCAGTTGGAAATCTAGCCTTTTGCTTGGAGAACCGCCGTACCCTTGTCACTTCTGAAAGTTTGCGGGAACTTCTTTTACGGCTGACAGTTGCATCTGAACCACGTGTCAATAAAGCTGCTGCTCGTGTTTTGGCAATTCTTGGTTTGTTTTTGTATTTAATAGTCTGTGTTTTTAAGACATTGATTTCACTTCAACCTGGTAAGGCCTATTTTATGCCCCTACAGGGGAGAATGAGAATTTGCGTCGTGCCATTAGAGGGAGACCAGTTGCAAAGCAAGGATTACGCATTCTTTCAATGGATGGGGGTGGCATGAAAGGTCTGGCAACTGTACAGATTTTAAAAGAAATCGAGAAAGGAACTGGAAAACGGATACATGAGTTGTTTGACCTTATATGTGGCACATCAACGGGTGGTATGCTTGCTGTTGCCCTTGCAATCAAACTAATGTCCTTGGAAAAATGTGAAGAAATATACAAAAAACTTGGTGGGTATGGTGCAGTAGGAATGAACAGTTAACTTCTCTATGATTTCTTCAGCAATTCTCACTTCTTTTCTTCTGCTGTAACTCCTCAGGAAGACTTGTCTTTGCTGAACCTGTGCCAAAGGATAATGAAGCAGCAACTTGGAGAGAAAAGTTGGATCAGCTGTACAAAAGCTCCTCGCAAAGTTTTAGGGTGGTTGTACATGGATCTAAAGTATGAAACCCTTTTTTCTTCTCCCCCTTTGTTTTCTCTAAATGTTATTTCTTGGAAACTTTATGGTATTTTTGTTATTCATTTCATAAATATAAAACTTAAAATTTTCTGGAAAAATTTAATATATTTCACATAATTTATTGTGTTATTCTCTCTCTCTCTAATTTTTGTTATTTCTTAGTCGTCTTAAGTAAGATCGCTCATTATACCGTGAAATGAGACAATGTTATTTATTGCTTTGCAGCACAGTGCAGATCAGTTTGAGAGGTTGCTGAAGGAGATGTGTGCTGATGAGGATGGAGACCTCTTAATAGAGTCGGCAGTGAAAAACATTCCCAAAGTTTTTGTAGTATCAACTCTGGTCAGCGCGGTACCAGCTCAACCTTTTATCTTCCGCAATTACCAGGTTCGATACAAAGATCTACTGTTTTTGTTTGACATGGACATATTGTCACCCTTTTAGTAAAATTTATATTAGTTTATGATCTGTAGAAACTGTAGTTTCAATTAACATTATTATTGTCAATGTTTCTTTGATAAAATTTTGCCTGATTCAAAGTATAGTACCCTGCTGGCACACCAGAGATACCTTTTGCTATTTCGGAAGGTTCACCATCCAGTGGCCAAGGAAATGCTAATGCCAGTCCTCAAGTTGGGTATAAACGCAATGCTTTTATTGGAAGTAGTAAGCATCACGTATGGCAAGCTATAAGAGCATCATCAGCTGCTCCATATTATCTTGATGATTTTTCTCATGGTATTCTCTTCCTGTGTTTTTTTGGACTCATCAGTTGGCTTTTTTACTATTTATTTTATATTGATTTCTTTATAGTGTGCCTTCTGTCTTAATTTTTTATTTTTTTTGCCTTCCAAATATCTGCAGATGTATATCGTTGGCAAGATGGTGCTATTGTAGCAAATAATCCTACCATATTTGCCATACACGAAGCACAACTTTTATGGCCAGATGCAAAAATTGACTGTTTAGTTTCCATTGGATGTGGTTCGGTTCCAATCAAGGTAACCAGAATTATCCAAACTTTGTTTCCTGAAGAGATGCTTTATTTTTTAATTTGATCTTTTTCAAGTTGTCAGAATATTTTCTAGGATTTAAAAAAGTTTAATATGTTGCAAAAACTGTCATTAACTGAAATTTGGAAATTCTTTGCTGAATATTTATTCAGCGCTGGATTTTTTTGTTTTTGTTACAATTGATCTTGGTTACTTTGTGGTGAAACCGTAAATTATCCCTCTGTTCATCAGGTCATATGTGGATCAAATGTGTGTGTTACTATGGCTAGCAAAGCAACATTATTTTCAGCTTCAAATATGTTCATTAGTGTGTGTGACTTATTCATATCATGTACATTCCTTGCAACATAATTTTAGAAAGCAGACATTTGCAGTATAAACAAGGTTATTCTTGTAATAATTGCCGAACAACTACTTAAAATATTTATTGATTTATTTTTGTGGTTGAACTTTGTAGAGTTGTTATTTGTTTCATTGTCAACATATTTATTTGCCTAGTATTTTAGGTCCGGAAGGGTGGATGGCGTTATTTGGATACTGGGCAAGTGTTGATAGAGAGTTCATGCTCAGTGGACCGGGTGGAGGAAGCTTTAAGTGCATTGCTTCCAATGCTTCCTGAAATACATTATTTTCGTTTCAATCCAGGTGAAGTGTGCTTTTCTTCTTCTTCTTCTTCTTCTTCTTCTTCTTCATCTTTTTATTTATTTTTTCTTCTTTACACTCATTGATACTTTACACAGCAATGCGATTCAACAAGTTCCACCATTTGTTTGAACCTCAACCTCAAAAAAGAGTCCCCTTATCTTCCTTTCTTATTTCTCATTTCATCATTTATATTGAGCAAATAATCTAGATACTGCAAGTGGTTAGATTAGTGCCTTCTTATTAGCATTCTATATTCATTTGCAATTCAGTGGATGAACGTTGTGATATGGAGCTGGATGAGACTGATCCTACAGTCTGGCTGAAGTTAGAGGCTGCAACGGAGGAGTACATCCAAAACAACTCACATGCATTCAAGAGTGTCTGTGAAAGACTTCTGCAGAATCAGCATGGTGAGAAGTTGTCAGAATATTTGAAGTCTCAACATTTACCGAATGCAAAGGCTTCGAAAGCTGGTATAGCTACCGAATTACTCTGTAGCTGCTTGCTATTGTTTTGTCTTTCCAGACTTTCTTTTAGTTTGACTCCTTCAATACTTTTGTTCTTTGGCAGTCCTAAATGAGAATAGCCCCTCTTTGGGTTGGAGACGTAATGTTTTACTTGTGGAAGCTTCTCACAGTCTTGATTCAGGAAGAATTTTTCACCATGCTCGGTCACTCGAGACATTCTGTAGTCAAAGTGGAATAAGATTGTCTCTTATGAATGGGATATCAGGAACCTTCAAAGCTGTACCTGGAACAACATTCCCAACACCATTCGCATCCCCTCTGTTCACTGGGAGCTTTCCATCAAGCCCACATATATACAGTCCCGATATTGGCCCTCATAGGATTGGCAGATTAGATTTGGTTCCACCTTTAAACTTGGATGGATTTCAATCTGGAAAAACAGTTGCTTCACCGCCCAAGTCTCCACCAGGACCCAGGATGCTCTCGCTTCCTGTTCGATCATTGCATGAGAAATTACAGAATTCACCACAAGTCGGAGTTGTACATTTAGCTTTGCAAAACGACACATGTGGATCAATATTAAGGTCAGAATTTCCCTCTCTTGTTCCTCTTCTATGTTGTTTTCATATGTAAAATGTGGTTTGACTCAATCCTAAATTGCTGGGTTTTTTTATACTGTAGTTGGCAGAATGATGTGTTTGTGGTTGCTGAACCTGGAGAACTTGCAGATAAGTTTCTGCAGAGTGTTAAATATAGCTTGCTGTCAATGATGCGGGGCCGGAACAGGAAGTATGCAACAGCGATTACCAACATCTCAACTGTTGCTGAATTGGTTGCATGTAGGCCGTACTTCCAAATTGGATGCATTGCCCACCGATTTATTGGACGCCAAACACAAGTATGCTTTGTTTTCTTATGCCTTCACCATTTTTATTGGTCTCTTCTTGTTTTTGGAAACTAAGAAGTTCAAAAGTACTTTCACTCATTCTGATTTTTTTTTTTTTTTTGGTTGAAGGTTATGGAAGATGACCAAGAAATTGGGGCATACATGTTTCGTAGAACAGTCCCTTCTATGCACTTAACCTCTGATGACATTCGTTGGATGGTGAGTCTTTGGATCCTCAATTTGAGTTTTTTTTTTTTTTTTTTTCCTCCTATAAAATTAAAGGATTAAAAGTTTAATTTAGATACAAGTTTTGAACACATATTTCACACTCCTATCATTATCATATCTGATGAACATAAATACTATTAAATAGAAGAATCCATATATAACACTCCAATAATCTCTCTTCACCAAGTTGTAAACCACCCACCAAGGGCAGTCATTTTCAAATTAAGAATAGCAAAGTTAATTAGTAACTATCCATGGCTTGGAACGTCTTCACAACAAATAAATAAATGAAAAATGCTTGCTTTTAGCTTTAGTTGTTGAAGATCTATGATTCAATATGCATGTTTGCAAATTCCAATATTGAGTTTAAAAAAAAAAAAGAAAACAAGCATCACACTATAAAATACGATTCATATGCTTAAGATATTCACCCTTATTGAGAGTAAAAAAAAAAAACTTTAGGAGTTTCAGAGACAAAATCTCTTAGTTGATATAAAAAAATAAAAAATAAAAAATTTCTTAGTTGTTAAAAATGTCATTTGTTGTATTTTTTGCCACGAAATTAGATATTTAATGATGATTCACTATCCTTTGGAAGCTAAAATATTTGTCTAAAAAAGTAAACATCTTTGCAAAAACTTTTTTTTTTTTCCTCTTAAAAGTTTTGCAAATTTTGGCCTCTCTCTCTCTCTCTCTCTCTCTCTCTCTCTCTCTCTTTCTCACAGTTACTGTGGCTGATGCTTTCTATGTTGATGAAACTCAGGTTGGAGCTTGGAGGGAAAGGATAATAATATGCACTTCTACCTATGGGCCTACCCCAACTTTAATTAAGGCTTTCATGGACTCTGGTGCAAAAGCTGTTATATGCCCATCGGTTGAACCCCAAGAAATGCAGTTAACAACGTTCCATGGATCAGGCGACTTCAATGATTTGGAGAATGGGAAGTTTGAGATTGGAGAGGAAGAATTAGAAGATGAAGAGGCAGAGCCTGTCAGTCCAGTGAGCGATTGGGAAGATGATAGCGAGCCTGAGAAAAGTGGGGACCGCTCAATGGCCTTTTGGGATGACGATGAAGAGGAATTGTCTCAGTTTGTCTGTCAATTGTATGATTCTTTGTTTCGTGAAGGTGCGAGACTAGATGTTGCCCTCCAACATGCTCTTGCCTCGCATCGGAAGCTGAGGTATTCATGCCATCTTCCTAGTATACCATAGATTATTAAATAGCATTTACACGAGACTGAAAAAATTGGAACCAATTTTAAAAAAAAAAGAAAAAAAAAAAAAGAAGGAATGAAAAAACAAAAACATAAAGAAAAAGAAAAATAGAGATGAGCACATAGATGTATGAGTGAAATAATTGAGTTAACAAGAGGGATGCAATTTTGAGGCTTACAATTTAATCTGTTTGTTATTAATAAAATGTTTATGAATTCAGAAATGTGTTTCTTTGTGCGTTATAATTGTTTATATTTCGGAATCCATACTGATGAGACATTCATTTGAAGTTTTCCTGGAAGTCTCATATCTGCTAAGCTATCCATCAATCTTCATTTTTCTGGCTAACTGAAACGCCAATATGCTTAGCTTAGTAGCAGGAAAACTCCTATGGAGGCCTCACTTCATGCTCTGGAACCTTAAACACTTTTAAAGGCCCTGCTCCTCCGCCCGTGTTGGGGTGTGGATTTTGATAAGTACTAGACACTAGCCAACTGAATTTTGGAGTTAGGGTGTTTCTGATTTTTCTACACTTTTGTCATGTTGCTCTAATTTTATATGTATTTATAGTTCAGGGGAATCGGTTATATCTTGTAATCATAGTGAAAACAGCAGTAGTGGTAGATGTAAGCCCTAGTCTAGGGTGAACTTCTTAAACCTTGTGTTATTCATGTGAGCATTCACTCCCTATCATATTTGCTGATTATAGTGCCATTCTGTGAAAGTATTGGAACCAAGGTTGGACTTTGTTTTGTTCAACTTTCTATTTAAACCACACTTTTTTTCCAGCCAAGGTAGTGTTTTTTTTTATGTATCAGCACTTTCAAATTTAGCAATCGTACAATTTGTGATGGGTTTGGGGATTTGGTTTGTTTCCTGTTGCAATGTTCTGATATTCTTTGAATTGAAATGCCTTTTTCTACTCAAATTTAATTGATGAATATTAAATTTCACTTTGCACTCTTACATTTTACATCTAATCTCACTTTGCCTCTGGCTTTTTAATTGTCCCATCTAACCCCTCAAATTTCAAGTCAAGTTGCAATTGGGTCCATTCATTTGTATAATGTTGTTTCCAAAATTACCAGAGAACAATCATGTGATAATGTTAATTATACTTGGTAGTCTTACAAATTCATCAAAATCTAATAGTATTAATTACACTTAGTAGTCTTAACATTCATCAAAATCTTACTTTAGTCCATCTACTTTGGCTCTTAGTAATCTTGAGCATTTATCGACATCTCACTTTAGTCACTATCTTAATCCATTCATAAATTTTCAAAACAGCATTGTAACTTGATTCAAAGTTTAAGGAGTTGATTGGAACAACTAAAAAGTCGAGGTGTAAAGCGGAATTGGTTGTAAAGTGAATTTGCCAATTATTGAATTTGATCTTCTTATTAACTAAGCACATTTATGTTGTATGCTTTCCACTCCCTTTTGCATAAGCTTAAAGTTGCCTTATTTGTCTTAAATAACTGAGTGAATTTTTTTTTTAGTTCTTTAAAAGATTTTGGAAAGAAAATCACTAAACATGAAAATAAGTCCAATTGTCAAAAAAATAAAATGTAATAAAAAATAATACTACCTGCATAGAGAAATCAATGTATTATGACCCCAACTAATTGGGCAGGCCAGCTAACTCCATCAATATATTTCATAGGAAAATGTCTCGTATCTCAAATTTTGTGGCTCAAAAGTGGCTCAAATGGCCAAAACGACGTCGTTTTGGCCATTTTTACGTTGTTCTGTACTTAAAACGACGTCGTTTTGGTCATTTGAGTCACTTTTGAGCTACAAAATTTGAGTTACGTAGCATTGTCGATATTCCATATGTGCATGACATATTTAAAAACTAGAACAGTTCAAGCAAGAAAACTGATTGAACTTTAAAAAAAAAACAAACCTCATTTTAGTAAAGAAAAGAAGAGGAATAAAATGATGCATGTCATCAGTTGCAAGCCAGAAACCAGAGTGTGTATAAAAGTAGATTAATTGAACTAAACCTATTATTCCATCACCCCATTTTTAAAAACAAGTAGTAATAATAACAATAATTTAAAGCAAAAGAGAATAGTAGTAAATAAAAGCAAGAACGCCCTGGCCCACCACACCTAAAAAGCCCTAATGTTACCATCTGATTAGGACAGAATTGGCATCTAGGGGCATAGATAATCAATGGTTTTTAACTAAATGAATTGGTGGGGGTAGCAACACTTCAATAATCATGATTATTAGACATCAGGGGCACGAATAATTGAGAGAATTAGAGTATGAGATTGAAATTATTAATTTGTAAGTCCTATAATCTTGTGTTTGTTTTAAAATTCTGTTTCAGGATTTTAATCCAATAGATAATTAATCCAACAAATTTGTAGGATTATTAGTAATGGGATAGGGGTGAATATATCCTGAGCTGGAAAATAAAATAAAAAGACTCTTTTACCTACTAATCTAATGCAAATCAAACAATGAATAAAGGAATAATTTATCCTACTAATACAATTAGATAGTGAATACCACACTAATTTGATGGGATTATTAATATGTTCACTATTAGTTTTGTGAATCAAACATTGGCCAAGTGTCTTGATTATAATGCATGAGAAAGATGGTTGAACAATTTAATCAATCCAGTAAATCAAATAGGATTTCCACTGTTAATATAAAAGAAGAGACTTGTTCTCATCTTATCCATCCTTTTGTCTCAAACATTTTTTTTTATCACACGATCAATCTCTCTAGCACCGAACTTGTGATGTGAGAAAGAGCTTAGCTTAGAGTAGGGGGACACAGAGATTGAGGCACATAAGAAAGTTTAGGACAAGAAGTCAGAGTGACTATGGCATATAAAAGTATGATCACAAAGCTCAATTATGTAAAATTTCACCCTTTCCACTTTGAATAAAGCAGGTCTAAAAACACATTATTTAGCCAAAAGAACACATTTATGCTTTAAACTTGAAAGCAATTCTCCCACCAAAGACCTAAAACCCCCTCTTTTTTTCATCCAAAGGCCTCCAACATTTCTTCCACTATAGTGTAAAACACAATATAAACCCACCTCCACAACCACAACATTCCCTGAAAAAATGGGTTCAACCACCCTGGTTGAGGTAGGCACACGAGGCACTGTGGCATCACTTGTCATGAAGGAAATTGAGTATTTCAGCAGGCTTGAATTAGATCGCCATGGAAGCTCAAGAAAGCCTCAAGAACAACACAAAATGGATGTGGGTTCCAGCAAAGGTACTAGTACGCGGCCTAGTTTCGGTTTCTTGGTCATGACATGGAGAAGGAAGAAGAGAAGAGGCAATGGGCTTCGTCCAAGGATGTGCTCCGCGGTGGAAGTTGAAGATAGTCATGAGTTCAATGGAATTCCAGGGTTCCATTATAGGAACCTTAAATCCGAAGTGAAGAAATATGAGCCCTAGATAAATGCTCTTGTAAAGCTTTCCTAAAACAACAATGTTACGGACCCAGAAAATTTATCTTGTAAGATACTTAGAAAAAAAAAAGTTGTGATTGAGATTTATTTGAAGTGTAGGTCTTACTATATAAGAGTTGAATGTGAACCCACACATCACTTTTTTTGAGTAAGTTTCTGAGTTATTTTTCTGAAATTTCTATGTTTTTTATTGGTTTAGAAAACCTTTAAGCTAATCGGTTATACTTTGCCAAGAGTTCTTTCAAAAATATATATTTCCCAAATGCATGTAGTTGTCAACTTATTTCCCGAACTCAAGTTGGTTTTTCAAAACAATACTTTAAAGAGTCTCCATGTTTAGAAAACGGTTTTTTCCGTTCAGTATGAAGACAAACATTTTTTGTGGTCAATCGAAATAAAACTTATTGGGATAAAAAATATTTTTTTCAATCTAAAATTTTACCAATGCCACCGCTACTTCCGCCAAAGAAACATGTCTACCTCTCTGTACACAAAATCCCCTTTTCCCTGATTCCAATGTACTCCCAACTGTATAATGTGATGAGAATTTCGAAATACAACAATCTAAAGGCGCGATTAAGCAGTTTAGAATTATAAGGTGAAACTTTGAACTAGCAAAACGAACATAAAGCTTTGTTTGGGCAAACAAACCAAGCTCTTCTTGATGCATACAACAATTTCCTCTAATTGTGGTTCTCATTATATCAAAAAGCAAGAATTTCAGCTCCAACTATACTGAACTCTTGTCTGTTTATATATCAAAAAGCAAGAATTTCAGCTCCAACTATACTGAACTCTTGTCTGTTTATACGAAGTTACACACATATCCATAACTACACACACCACTCCGATGATATATGAAAAAAAAAAAAATTAAAAATTAAAAAATAAATAAAAATTTATGTTTCTGTTGAAATTCCGATTTCATCTGCTGATGACGTGGCTAAGTGTTCGAGGGCAGTTACAACGTCGCTGATCAACGGCCGGGTCTTAGCTTCCTCTTGGAGACACATGGATGCAATAGCAATAGCTTGGTAGAGTCCTTTCATAGGATACTTCCCTTCAAGTTTTGGGTCAGCCATTAATGTGAACTTGTTTAGGTCTTTAAAAAGTGGTTCTGCCTGCAAGAGCGACACAAGAATAGTACTATGTAAAGATTGTGGGAAATGCAAAAATAACTGTAATTGAAAAGTTTGGATATGTTAAGGGACAATAATATAGTACTGTGTATATTTAGCCTATATAGCTTGTTAAAAATGTAAATGTATAGCTTTGAGAATATTGGCCACATGACAGAGTTTCATGTGATACTAACAAAGTGCCAAGTATGTGGCTCCAAGAGAAGAGACATTCATAATGGTTGTTGGAAGATTAAAGTCGAGCATACCCAAGCAACCAAGTTTTGCTCCCCTATTGGTCTCGCGTTATCAATAGTTCTCCTTCCCGTTATTATCTCCAAAAACACGACCCCAAAGCTGTACACATCAGACTTTTTTGTCAACTGACCCGTCCTCACGTACTCTGGCGCGCAGTAACCATAAGTCCCCATGACCCTTGTAGACACATGTTGTTTGTCACCTGTTGGACCTAACTTGGCAAGTCCGAAATCAGACAACTTTGGATTGAATTCCTCATCCAGTAATATATTGGATGCTTTAAAATCGCGATAAATGATTGGAGGTTTGGCTGTATCGTGTAAGTATTCGAGTCCTTGAGCTGCCCCTATGGCTATCTTCATTCGAGTAATCCAATTGAGTGATTTCTTGTCTGGGGTCAAATCTGAAGAGCAAAAGATGTAGTCAGTGTCAGGACTAATCCAAGATTGCAACTTTGGAGGACAAAAACGCATTTAACTCCCATGACAACATAATTAGATAAGAAAATATTTTTGTCTGTTATATAATATTATTACATGTTTTTAATTAGTGAAGCTAAGTATTTGAAAACATTTTATGATAAACATTGTTTTTCTCAATAAATATGTGTGCGTAATTTGTTAGAAAATCATATTTTATCCTACTACAAAGTTTATTTTTGACAAATTTCATAATTGAAAATGTAAGTTCATATAATTAGTTGAAAAATGAAAAAAAAAATCATGTAAATGAAAAGATAATTCATATCAATAAGTAATATCATATTTTATGAACTTATTAATGTTAAATGCAGACAATTTACTCATTTTCAAAGGATAAACAAACTAGAATGGATGCAAAATAAGGGGCATAAGCAAATTAAAATATGATGTTAAAAAAATCATAAATATTTTTTGGGGACATTACCAAGAAGGTGATCTTCCAAAGATCCATTGGACATGTATTCATAAACCAAAATTCTTTGGTGGCCATCGGTGCAATAACCGATCAGATTGACAAGGTTCCGGTGGTTAACCAAGCTCAACATCAGAACCTCTGCGAGGAATTCTCGATTTCCTTGAACTCCATTCCTGTCTAGTTGCTTCACAGCCACAGTCTGAGTTGAAATGAAATAAAGAATAAGACCAAGCACGAATCAAAATTTCGTTTTGATATGTTGTTTTGATTAACTTGGAAACAAAAACATTTTGGAAACGTTTCAAAAATATTTTGAAAAAGTAATATCAAAGCAATACAATTACAACTACCGAGCAAGGATCAAAATTTCGTTTCAATATGTTATTTCTGTTAATTTGGAAACCGAAACGTTTTGAAAATGTTTCAAAAGCTAAGGGGGATGAAGAAAAAGAATTTTAAAAAAAGGTTTGAAAATGTAAATTAAAACCTATGTAAATGTATATTTTCTTAATCGTTATTGTCAAATCATGAATTAAATCAGGAATAGTAGTATTAAATATGATTAAGATTTTTTTTTTTTTTGGCAAAAAATATGTCGTTTCATGTATTATGCAAATAGAACTGAATCGTTTTCGTTGATCAATTCATTCTAACAATTATATTGTTAGTAATTAAACAACTGAACATATTATCGATGTATTAGAATATTGGAAGCTCATTAAAATTTAAAAAAAGGATTAAAAACTTAGTCAAGAAATTTTTTTGTCAGTATAAAAAAAAATAGTTTTAAAAAATGTAAAATTCTAGTAGTAATAGGCTTAATCGTACTTGTCTTATCTTCCCCTCTCTATCTCTCCGCTTTCTCTTCAATTTTTTTTTAATTTTTTATTTTTGACCAAAAAAATGAAAATGGCAAATAAAAATGAGCATTGTTATATATATTTTAATAGGTGTTGAAACAACTCATTGTTTCAGTACCTTTTGTAGAGGAATTTCATTGTGTTTTGATGGTATGTTCCGGTGTAGAGATTGTGGTTTCGATATTTCATTAACTTTTCGTTTCGGTTTCCTAAGAAACGGAAATATTTTAGCCCTTTTTGATGGAAAAGAAATGAAATTTTGTTTACGGGTATAGAGAGGAAAACAGACTTGATTTGTGTTCCTAATTTTGCCTTTGTACACCCTCCCAAAACCTCCTTCACCCAAAAGCAATTCCGGGTTGAAGTTGTTGGTGGCGGTTGCCAATTGCCGGAATGTGAAAATTTCAGCAGACACTTTTGCATTTTCGAGTTTGAGTATCTCTTTGGCTAGCTTCCTCTGGTTGATGGTGCCTACACATTGATCATCAGAAGTCGAGTTGGACAGCAAAACAAATGTTTATAATAAAATATATTTGACCCCCCAAAAAAATGAAAGAGAGAAAAGAAAAGAAAAGAAAATTTCATCTGCATTTGTACAACTAGTTGATTTCTCAGAATTTGTATGAAACAAAGTTTTAGTCATGTATTTATGCAAAGAACTATATGCAAAGTACAACAAAACCATTATGTTGGAGGAAAACATATGGGTTTTCTAAATTAAAAAAAGAATATATGAGATTTCTAAAATTTGTTACTTATTTAAGTTGTCTTCAAAAGGGATTCTATCTATCTTTAAGGTGGCTCATGCAGGCTTCACCAATGACACGTGCCTTTGAGGCCAATTGACCCCTTCTGCGGGTCAACAAATGGATGGGGGCGCATACGCCGCTTCTCTGTTGGATTCTGATTTGGAGGTGTTCAATTATAATGCAGTGCATGGTAGTTTTGAGTTATTGACTTTTTAACAAAGCACAATGACTAATTGTATGAATCAATGATACTAACAGAAGCTAGCCTGTAGACTAAAAGTCCAGGCATCTCACTGGAAGGTTAGGGGTTCGACTCTTCCCACCTGTGATCTTTCCCATTTTTTCTTGTGTGATTGTAGTTTGTGGTATGTTGGTGATGCGTTGTCAGACTTTTTTACATAGTTGAATATCTAGTCTAATGCAAGTCTAATGATATTTGTAAATTATCTTTATCCGATTAAAAAAGAAAACGACTATCGTTCATAATTTTCACCAAAAGCATGTCAAAACTTGCAGATGAGAAGTTGATATTGAAACTTCAGCAAACAAATTAACAATCTATCCAAGAAAGCATTATTTGTCAGATTATCATAAAAATTCAAGAGAAAATTAGTCGGATTAGCATGAATACAATCATCGTTTGCATAAAACTAGGAATTACATCAGAATTTTGAAAAAAAAAAATTTGTTTCTCAACCAACCTGAATGCATTGAAATGTTTTTAAAAAAGGTACCAAGTACCTCTCGATCATCACCTCTTCGAGCCTTCTTCTTCTTCTCCCTCAAAGACGTGATCGAGCCGCTCCTGTCCACCTTGCAACACAAGAAAAGACTCATCTTCTTCCTCTCCTTTCCCTTCCTTGGTTTTCCTTTCTTTGAAAACATATAATCCCAAACTCTTTAAAGACTTGCCCAAATGATTAGGGCACAAATTTAAAATCAATGTTCCTAAACCCCGCTTTAGTAAAAGTCTCGTAACTGGAATGAAAGTATTAGACGAATATGTGTATCACATAAACATATCCAAGTAGGAAATTGAAAAATGGGTACACAAAGCAATGAATGTTTTCTGGTAAAATGTGGGTGTTTGTATTTGTTTTGACATTAATTTTCTTGGCTATGTTGAGCTGCTTCTAGGCTAATTTTCTTGGGGGGAACAGACAAAGAGAGACAGAAGACCTAAATGTCAGGTTCTCAAGTAACAGAAAATGTAGTGACAACAATTTCAACAAACTCATGAGCTGGCAAATGAGTATATCATCATTGTTCATCATAAATCTCATTCAATAAATAGAAACCTACTCTCTGTTAAATTTTCAAATTTGGCTTAAAATAATAATGATGATAACTAGCTTTTTGCTGCACAATTAAAAACAATAATAATAATAATAATAAAACAATTTAGCCAGTGGTACAATGCAGTGGTTGGCCAGGAATAGCATCCTCATTTAGGCCTTGCCAGTTGCTACACAAGGCACAAGATAGTAAACTCCCCACCCTCTTTTGTGTATACATATCCCTCTCTCTAGGTAGAAATATTGAGCCAAGTATATGGAGTTGATGAATGGGGTACTTAAATATAGACATTTTTTTAAGAGTCATCACTGTTGGCCCGAAGGCTCACTGCACGGCTCAAGCTTGGCCTATCTAAGCGCGTACCTCTGTTAGATTGGCCTAGCCTGAATAAGGCTTGAGTTGGACATGGGCCTAGTGTTGAAACTCGGTCTGACACTAGTCTACTCCACGAGCCTAATAGAAAATAACAAAAAAAATATAAAGAAAAATAAAAAAGTCCAAGAGTAGGACCAAATTTTGGGTCATTGGGCTTAACTCATGGGCAATATCATCCATACCAAGTTTACCTTAAAAAGGATTTTGATCCAATGGTCTAGATATAAGACTTGCAATTGATAAAGGTAAATAATAGTTTAGATGTGTCAAAATGACATTTGCACCATTAGAGTAACTCTACTAATTGTCATAGTGTCATATTCTGACAATATTGTTTACAATTGTCATTTGGCATATTGGAAGCATTTTTTTGTTCAAGATATTTCACATTCAAACCATACAATCCAAATACCCTCTCGGGTGAGTTGAGTTGACTCAATAATGTTTTTTATTTTTATTTTTTTTGACAGGTCGCTAGGGAAATTTTTTTTAGTAAAGCTGGTATAATTTGACAACAGTAGCCTTTATAGTAACTCACCAATATTACTAAAAAGTAATGTTTTGGCATTATATTATGTCCAATTACTAGAGAAATTGATTGTGGAACAACTTCTCATAATCATTAAATTTATTTAATCTCAACTGTCAACTATGTTAGAGCTATATATTCATTTAGTCCATTATTATTAATTGGATGTACAACTTTTAGGTTCTACACTCATGAAAATAAATGTCTTTGATAAATAATAAAAAAAAAAAAATTAGATTTTTCAATTTCTTTTAAACTTTTAAATCCTTCAATGCAAAAGAGAATTCTCTCTAGCACTTTCCGAAGCCATGAAAAAACTTGTGGAAATGCTAAGATGGGCAATCTCGCCGAACAAATCCAAGGTTGTAAAGATCATTCAGAAATCAGAACAAATATGAGAGAGATTCTATTGGTGTTGAGAGGGTTTGTGATTAGGAACTTGAACCCTATCTTGTAGCTCAATGCCATCAACAATGCAAATAAATAGAAGATATATGATGAATACAATAAAAGTGTCTTTCTACTTGTGAAATGAAAGTCTTCTTTTCTTTTATTTTTTGTTATATTCTTTTACAGTTGATGCTTCAAAGAATTTTAGTTATCTTATTTTACTCATTTTCAAGTGGTAGTTTTTTTTCTTTTTCTTTATTTTCATGACAGAGTGTAGAGATGGAAATTATTTGAAAAATGGGATAATTGAAAATGGAATTCAAGCAAGAAAAGCGATATTTAATCACCAGAAAAAAGAGATTCAATCATGCTCCAGCAATTTGAGTTAGAGAACAATGAATGGGTTAACATCTCCATCAGTGTTGTAATATTAAAATATTATAATGCAACAACAAAAAAAAAAATAATAAATAAATAAATTAGACACTATTGAAACAACTTATAACAAATCTGTATAAAGTGTATTTTTGCTGTGCTAAAATAGCACAAAGAGAGATCTATTCTACCCAAGAAAAAGTTCTTTAGGATACTTCACTTGTATCAACTTGTGTACATTCTGTTAGCAAAAACAGCACATCAAATAAAAATGCATGATGTTACTCCAGTCATTAACAAACATCTATTCAAATTATCAGTAAAAAAAGTTGAAAACAAAAAGAAATCCTAAAACAAGCATACACCCTTTTTCACACAAGAGGTCATTCAAGCTTTACCAAAATCCAACTAGTTTTCTTAAACAAGTCAACCAAGGAAGCCAATCAACAAACAAAAAAAGAGTCAACCAAGGAAACCACAATTACCTACTAACAACGCAGTTTTTAAGCTCCTCTATGGACCTTTAATTGTCACGTACCGGATCATCCTAGTTTATAAAATATGTGTGACAGTTGAGACACACAATTCTTAGATAAATTCATTGCAAGACCTATGTCAGATGATTCAAAGTAACAGTGTACCAGATACAACATGAGTCTCCAACGCCCAAGCATAAAAGAAGTATGTCCAACAATAGGAGGGACGATGCCTAAATTACTTTTAAGTTGAACAGCTTATTTATTAAATAGATATTCAAGATGAGCCATGTCAAACATATTATGCAGCACATACTCTTGATTTTGCCACAAGATTAAGGAAGTTTGGGAAAGCAGACAATGAAATTATGTCCTTGTGTTTCCAGCTTTAGACAAAAGATTGAGAACTCGAATGCAAGAAGACACTTGTAAAACTGAAGTCACCATAATAAACATTGATTTCAATTATCAAACCAAACTAAACTAAGCCTTAAGTCCCATCAAACGGGGTCGGCTACATGAATCATTTTTCTCTACACGGCTCTATCAAAGGCTATTTCGTTAGTTAAATTAAGTAGATTCATATCTCTATTTACAACGTTAACCAACGTTAATCTAAGCCTTTCTAGTCTCCTAACACTTTCATCTACCGTCACTGCACCGCATCTCTTCACTACTGCCTCTGTTGGTCTCCGTTGAATATGACCAAACCATCTCAATCATTCTCTCAACTTATCTTCTATCGGTGCTACTCCTACCCATTCCCGAATTCACTCATTTCTAAGTTTGTCTTATCTAACCTTGCCACACATCCACCTTAGCATATTCATCTTATCTACATGTTATTTCTTGATTGTCCAACACTCCGTCCTATACAACATCACTGGTCTAATAGCCGTTCTTTCAACATTGATTTCAATTATCAAAAGAAAAACATTGATTTCAATCGGCAACAAATATATAGACACATGCTTTTCTTTATGTAACAAGATAAACACTAGCCGGTAATTTATACACACGCAAATGTGTAAAGGGTAAGCAAAAACATAAGAAATTAAGGAAGAATGTGATTTTTTGACCAGAAATTACTTTTAGTACAACAAATCAGGCTAAAACAATAAATGAATGAGGAAATACTTCAAAAATAACAGAATCCAACTAAAACAGCATCTTCATTTTGAAAATTTTAGCAACAACACAATTTCAGATAGTTCAACAAATGAAATGAAAGATGGGAATCTCTCTATAGATGCCATTTTCTAGAAAATATCCACCTAATTTTCAATTTTATTCCCATGGTCCTCCGTAACAGAAACTGTGGCATACCATGTTTCAAGGTTTGTCTTCCCTACTTAGGCAAACCCTCTTCTACTTGATCCCACATGTCAGCTTGTTTCGAGAATTTCTCCTTCATCTGCCCAACGAGTTCCCGTGCCTCATCAACCTTTGAAATGCTTGCAAGCCCATTCACAAGCGACTTCATGGTTCCAAAATTAGGAATCCAACCCTTCGCCATACTCTCCTTACAAATCTGCAAAGCGTTTTCAAAATCCCCACCTTGGCATAGGAAGTAAACCAGAGTGAAGTAACAATCACTGTCCGGTTTACACCCACTATTATTAACCATTTTCTTAAACAACTTCATTGCTTCATCCAAATTCCCTTCCTTACAAAACCCATGAATCAAATGACAATACGTAACCGAATTCGGCTTCATCCCCCTCGACAACATCCCATCAAGCAAAGCCTTAGCTTCCACAGATTTCTTAAGTTTACACAAACTCTGAATCCTAATATTATATATACTAATCCCTGGACTCAAATCATACTTCTTCTTCATCAAATCCAAAACCTTCCCAACATCATCATACTTCTCTTCCTTATAAAACCCAGCAATCAAAGTCCCGAAAGACGTCGAATTAGGCTTACAATGCTTCCTATCCATCTCAGCTAATATCGAAAACACAGAACTCGACGAACCCGACTCACAAAAAGCCTTAATAACAGCATTGAAAGTATCAAGATTCGGCTCAATTCCATACTTTTTAGGAAATTCAAGAAAAATACGGTTTACCTCACCATAATTCTTCGCAACAATGCAAGAAAAAAGAAGGGCATTGAGAGATTTCGCGGTCCGATCGATACCCAAGTCGTTCATTTTCTCGAACGTTTGGCGTGCATTATCGAGCATACCAGCCTGACCATATAGAACGATGGAATGGGAGATGAATTTCTCGGTTCGGAGATCGGGACGAGACTTGAGTTCTTCGAGAAAAGAGCGAATACCCTCGAAGTAATTGGAGTCGGAGAGCTTGGAAATGGCGACTGAGAAGGCGATTCGATCGAGGTGAGAGTCGGGAGTGAGAGAAGCGGCGCGGCAGATGTCGAGGATACGTTCTGGGTTTTTCTCGGATTTGAGGAGAGAGAGAGCGGCTCGAGACTTGTCTTTGCTTGAGAGAGGAGTGTTGGAGTTAGGGTTTAGGATTGATGAAAAGTTTCGTCGTTGGATTGAGGTTAGACGAAGCTTTGAGAGAGAAGCCATGATTCAGAGAGCTAAAGAGAGAATGTGTGAATAGAAAATGGTTCTGCAAAAAATAAGGGTTTTAGAGAGAGATTGAACTCTTGTGGAATCTCTTTGCTCCTTAAGTCCCATCAAACGGG